TCTATTCTTCGTTTTGTATGTGCTGAAATTTTCAAATGGGATAGGAAATTTGAACGCTTTGAAAATGTTAGAAACATTTTTGAGTTGTTCGTGTTTTGTAGCTTTCAGGGATTACTGTAGAGACTGTGTTTTTGGAAAAATTTAAATTACCCTTAAACCTGAAATAGAAGGGCACACTGTCAAGTTTGAGCTCAATTATCTCAGCTCCTATAAGAGATATCAAAAATGTGTCAACTGATAAAATGAATAAGATATCATGATAAACAATTTATCAGTTGACAAATTTTCTATATCTTCATCAGGAACCGAGATCAATTGGCTCAAATTTGAACGTCAGGGGGGCCCTTCTATTATAGGTTTTACGGTATTTGGAAAACGGTTCAAAATTTCAGAGAAAAAAACTTTTTTTACAAATTCAAATTTGAATTTTTTGTCCAATTTCTATTTTCAGACTCTCTTTTTGTACTGAAAGATTTCTGAATTCGTCATTTTTTGATTTTTGACAAATTTCCACTTGAAAAAAACATTTCAAGTGTTTTTTGTTTTTTTTTTTCGTCTGAAATAAGATGGTTCTTGATTTTTTCTAGATAAAGAAAACAACTTCCAGGACAAAGTTTATTTTTGGAACATTGCCAATTTTCGAATTGTCTAGAAAAAAGTTTCGAAATTTTAGGATTTTGGAAATTTTGGTTTGTTGAACTTCTGAATTTCTGAAACTGGGTCCCTGGGTCCCTGGGTCCCTGGGTCCCTGGGTCCCTGGGTCCCTGGGTCCCTGGGTCCCTGGGTCCCTGGGTCCCTGGGTCCCTGGGTCCCTGGGTCCCTGGGTCCCTGGGTCCCTGGGTCCCTGGATCCCTGGGTCCCTGGGTCCCTTAGGGTCCCTGGGTCCCTGGGTCCCTGGGTCTCTGGGTCTCTGGGTCCCTGAGTCCCTGGGTCCCTGGGTCCCTGAGTCCCTGGGTCCCTGGGTCCCTGAGTCCCTGGGTCCCTGGGTCCCTGAGTCCCTGGGTCCCTGGGACTTCTGAATTTTTCCAACTTCCGGCCATCCTTGGATTTTCAGATTTTTTTGTTTTTCGAATTAAAATAATGTTTTCGTCAATTTAATCTCTGATCTTTTCGATCTTTGCAATTGTATCTCATTCATTTTATTCGTCTCATTTTTAAAAAATTTTTTTTCATTGACAAATTATCGCCAATTAGGGTAATTAGGCTGTCTATGATATCACATGGATGCACTTTCATAGATCATCGACATTTTTGTTCCATTTTGTGATAGATGAAATGTGAGAGATCGAATGACTAATCAAATGATTCCTCTTTCTTTTTCTCTGCGTCTCTATCTCTCTCTCTCTCTCTCTCTTTTCCTCCTGATTGTGGTATATAAGACAAGACAGTCACGTTCTTTTTTTGTACAGAAGAAAAAACAGATGTGATTTTTTCTTGGAATTTTTTATTGGAAAATCTGTGAAATTCTCAATTTTCGAAACTTTTGGAATCGATTTCTCATATTTTTTCAAATTTAGTTTTTTCTGCAAAACTTTTTCTAGATATGTCTGGAATTTTCTGGAATTTCTGAAATTTTCATTTTTGGAATTTTTTATATATTTTTTCAGAAAGAAATGACTTCCCTCTTGGATATGGTATCCGATTTTGCCGGATTTCAATACACCCCAAAATTCAAATCCGCCACGACCCCGCCCACTCCAATCAATTCTGGAGCGAATACTCCCGTTCGAAAAATGTCAGAACCTTCTGGAAATTCTAAAAACTATCATGAAATTGAAAATAGGCGACATTCGGTGATAATCACTGTTGGAGTGGTGAGTGATTTTTGAATTTTTGAAAATTTGAAAAGTTATAAAAATTTGGGATTTCAAACATCTAGAAGTTCGAAATTCAGAAATTCAGAAATTCAGAAATTCAGAAATTCAGAAATTCAGAAATTCAGAAATTCAGAAATTCAGAAATTCAGAAATTCAGAAATTCAGAAATTCAGAATTTCAGAAATTCAGAAATTCAGAAATTCAGAAATTCAGAAATTCAGAAATTCAGAAATTCAGAAATTCAGAATTTCAGAAATTCAGAAATTCAGAAATTCAGAAATTCAGAAATTCAGAAATTCATAAATTCATAAATTCATAAATTCATAAATTCATAAATTCATATATTCAGAAATTCATATATTCAGAAATTCAGAAATTTAGAAATTCAGAAATTCAGAAATTCAGAAATTCAGAAATTCAGAAATTCAGAAATTCAGAAACTCAGAAATTCAGAAATTAAGAAATTCAGAAATTCAGAAATTCAGAAATTCAGAAATTCAGAAATTCAGAAATTCATAAATTCATAAATTCATAAATTCATATATTCAGAAATTCATAAATTCATATATTCAGAAATTTAGAAATTCAGAAATTCAGAAATTCAGAAATTCAGAAATTCAGAAATTCAGAAACTCAGAAATTCAGAAATTAAGAAATTCAGAAATTCAGAAATTCAGAAATTCAGAAACTCAGAAATTCAGAAATTCGTAAATTCAGAAATTCAGAAATTCAGGAAGTTCGAAAATCTGAAATTCAGAAATTCGGAAATTCAAAAATCTGGAATTTCCGAATTCCAGAATTTTGAAAAACCGGATTTCTGGAAATTTGGAATTTGGAAAATCTGGTCTACTAAAATTCAAATTTTCAAATTTTCAGAACAAATCCTCCAACTTCCCCGAACTCCAGCGACAGCGGATAACCGAGTAGCTGAAATTATTTTTTTTTAATTTTAAAAATTTTAGTTGTCTATACATATGTATATTGATCTGAATATCTTCCTTATATATAAAACGAATCGCGCCGAAGGCGCACCAGCTTGCTGGTTAAAAACAAAAAATTTTTGAAAGAAAATCTTGGAGTTTTAATGAACGAAGGACCTAATTAGGTCAATATCCGCTAATTAGTCCTTCAACTAGGTCCATTATCAGTACCAGTACCTCTTCTTATCACTATTATCAACAGCTGATCTATGACTAGTAAGAAAATTCCTTAAAAAGAGGAACCAAAACAAGCTAATCCCTTCTAATCAGTGATAATGACATTATCACTTTCTTATCAGCTGTGTTCCTTCCCGATTTCCTCTTTCTCTCTCTCTCTCTCTCTATCAAAATATCACAAGATGAGTAGAATTTGATAAGAAAGTTGTGATCTATGATTTTTGGGGTTTTCAGGAAATTTTCCGCTTTTTTAAAATAATTTTTAGATCATTCAAAACTCATTTTCCCTACTGTTCATTGTTCCAAAAAACCAAAAAATCTGAAAATTCGAAAATTTCGAAAAACCAACTTGTCTAGTTTTCCTTCGATTTTTAACAGGATTAAACTACAAAATTTCTATTTTTTGACACAAAAAATGACTAGAAAAATGCAATCAACTGAAGAAATTGGGACTAGAAAGATTAGGAAAAAAAGTGAATTCTGATTTTTCTGATGTGTGGACTTTCGTTTTGGAGTCATCTGTATTTTGTAGCTCATCAGGGATTACTGTAGGAAAATTAGAAATTTTCCAGTTCAAATCTTAAAATACGTAAACGCTCTAATAGAACGCCACAAGATCTCCCTCCTCAACATTTGTATTCTGTATTCTGACGTCTTCTGAATCACCAAATCTTACCGAAATTCTGTGTTCATCGATGCGTAATAAGCTAGGTGTAGCCCACCGATCGGAAGTTGCTTCAATTTGTACTAATTGGATTAATTAATTGGTTTGTCTCTTCGAAAACACAATTCTAGAAAAAACCCAAAAAACATTTTTTCGATTTTTATAATTTTTTATTTTTCAAAAAAAATGCATAAATTATGTACAAGTTTATACAGAAAAAAGAAATTATGGCACAAAAATCTAGCAATTGTCGATTCTTCCGAAAAAAAATCCAGGAAGGTTACTGTAGAAATCTATTTATCTACAGTAACTTTGTCTTGTCAATTGTGCACGTTGGAATTTGGCTCTGAAAATTGAAATTGCACTGGTTAGAAAACTTTTCAGAAGCTAAAACTATAAAATTCGAGTTTCCCCCATTTTTTTACCCCTGGACATTAATTTTCAGAGCTCTAGCTCAAAGTGTCGTAAGATTAGATGTATTGTGTGCAAACACCAAATAATGAAAAGAAAAACTCATTTTTATGGTTTTTGAGCATTACATTTAAATTCCTCACATTTTTCTACCTCTATGAACTAAATTTCAGCGCTCTAGCTCAAAGTGTCGTGAAATTCAGTGTTTGGTGTTTGCAGACAAAACACCAAACATTACGACATTTTGAGCTAAAGGGGTGAAAAATAGCGAATAGGGGTAAAAATTGCGGGGGATTCGAATATAGTACTCCGGAAACAAGAAAATAACAAGTTCCCATGTTTTCGGTGTTTGCACACAAAACACCACACCTTACGACAATTTGAGCTAGAGAGCTGAAAATTGGTGTCTAGGGGTAAAAAATTACGGTAAACTCGAATTTTTTATTTTCTACTCGAAATTTTAGCTTTTAACTTTAGCAATCGAAAACCTACCACTCCACAGCGATGACAACCGAGTGTTTGCGGGCGGCCGGCTCGGATAGCTTCCTCCTTGGCGATGATGCTCCAGAATTTTGTCCAGACGACGTGGCAGATGGAGGGGGCGTGGCCATCGAGCATTTTCTAGACGGACATTTTTGAATGTGTCCCGCGTTTGGGGACCGGTTGATTCCAGAAAATTCGGCGATAATTTCGGAAATCGCTTGGGAGACTTTCATGGTCTTTTGAGAATTAGGGGTTACTGTAGGTAGAAAAATAGGCAAAAATCTGAATCTTGTAGTCAGAAAACCCCAGAAGACGTTGTTTTTATAGCGCGACGTCTTCAAACTAAAAGTAGGCGGAGCCTATTTGTCATCTAATTGTTGACCCGATTGATGAGAGATTGGAGACGCAGAGAGAGAGAGATGGGATGATGGAACGGATGACAAATGGGAAACGTGACTTTTGCAAGAATATCATGTTGTTTGGCTGAAAAAAATTTTCAGAAAAAAAAAATTTCTGATCACTGAATTTTTGGAATGTTTTTATTTTTCACGGAAATCCAAAAATCACATGTTTTACTGATTATTTTGATGGATTGATAACAAAATTTTGAGTACATTGGGTATTTTGAAATTTGAGATGAAATTTCAGACAAATAAATTTTTTTAATTGGGGTAAAAACAAGAAAATAAAATTAAAAGGCAATTAAAGGAAAATTAATTGGAAGTTCCGGGTTTTGGGGATCTTTGGAATTTAGAAGATAATTTCAGAATTTTCAGATTTTTGAGACAAAAAATTGGCAGATTCTCACGAAAAAAAATCTGGAATAAATCTGAATTTTGGGTAATTTCTGAATTTCTGAATTTCTGAATTTCTGAATTTTGGGTAATTTGTGAATTTTTGAATTTCTGAATTTCTGAATTTCTGAATTTCTGAATTTCTGAATTTCTGAATTTCTGAATTTCTGAATTTCCGAATTCCCGATTTTTTGAATTTGTGAATTTTTGAATTTGTGAATTTTTGAATTTCTGAATTTCTGAATTTCTGAATTTCTGAATTTCCGATTTCCCGATTTTTTGAATTTGTGAATTTTTGAATTTCTGAATTTCTGAATTTCTGAATTTCTGAATTTCTGAATTTCTGAATTTCCGATTTCCCGATTTTTTTGAATTTGTGAATTTTTGAATTTCTGAATTTCTGAATTTCTGAATTCCCGATTTTTTGAATTTGTGAATTTTTGAATTTCTGAATTTCGCTTTTCATGATTTTTGGATCATTTTGTATGATTTTTGAGTCATTTTTCATGACTTTTGGACCATTTTTAGAGATTTTTGGACCATTTTTCATAAATTTTGTACTCAAAATGTCCTAATTCGTTCAATTAGTCCGAAGTGGAGTTTTCCTTTTCTAACATTTTTTGTCACTTTTTTGTAGTTCGGAACAAACTACAAAAATTGGAACTGTAAAAACCAGACAATTGGAAATAATTTTACAAAAAAAAACTGGAGATCATTTTTAAAAATAACTTTTTTTATTGAAAATTCACTGGAAAACATTTAAAAAACCAATAAAAAATCATTAATATCTCGTAAAATTGGCCACTGTAGTTTCAGAATTTCCCATTGTTTCAATTCGATTTTTCTTACAAATTTTGCAACATTTAAACATTCGTATATACCATTTTTGACTCAAAAAATCCAAAAAACACTGAAAATTCCTTTTTGAACAACCCAAATAAGTTAATTGAATTGTTAGAATTGTTGAAAATTTATCGATTGTTTCACAAGTTCCAATTTGATCATGAATCGATTTTTCGTAGTTGAAAATAAGAACGAATGGGATGTAAGACTGAAAATTTGAAAAAAAATTAGTTGTCGAGTTTCAGAATTTCAGAATTTTTGAATTCTAGAAATGTTCGAATTTCTGAAAGTCAAATTATGAAAAAAACCCACAATTTTCAAACCAATTATCACAATTAATTGCCATATTACATATCTTTGTGGTTGATTAAGTTGCGCTGATAATAAATTACTGTGTTTCTTGATTCTCCAAAAAATTGGAAGATATAAAAATGTAGCAAATAATAATAGGCAGTTTGTGAAGATGTAGAAACCCTGAAATTTTTGGAAAAAAATTTTAGACCTAATTTTTCGGATTTTCTAGGTCATGACCTAGATTTTTCGGATTTTCTAGGTCATGACCTAATTTTTTGGATTTTCTAGGTCATGACCTAGATTTTTCGGATTTTCTAGGTCATGAACTAGATTTTTCGGATTTTCTAGGTCATGACCTAATTTCCTGGCCTTCTCGGTCATGACCTCATTTTTACGATTTTCTAGGTCATGACCTAATTTTGTGGATTTTCTAAATCATGACCTAGTTTTTTGGATTTTCTAGGTCATGACCTAATTTTTTGGATTTTCTAGGTCTTGACCTAGATTTTTCGGATTTTCTAGGCCATGACCTAATTTTTTGAATTTCTAGGTCATGACCTAATTTCCTGGCCTTCTCGGTCATGACCTCATTTTTACGATTTTCTAGGTCATGACCTAATTTTGTGGATTTTCTAAATCATGACCTAGTTTTTTGGATTTTCTAGGTCATGACCTAATTTTTTGGATTTTCTAGGTCATGACCTAGATTTTTCGGATTTTCTAGGTCATGAACTAGATTTTTCGGATTTTCTAGGTCATGACCTAATTTCCTGGCCTTCTCGGTCATGACCTCATTTTTACGATTTTCTAGGTCATGACCTAATTTTGTGGATTTTCTAAATCATGACCTAGTTTTTTGGATTTTCTAGGTCATGACCTAATTTTTTGGATTTTCTAGGTCTTGACCTAGATTTTTCGGATTTTCTAGGCCATGACCTAATTTTTTGAATTTCTAGGTCATGACCTAATTTCCTGGCCTTCTCGGTCATGACCTCATTTTTACGATTTTCTAGGTCATGACCTAATTTTTACGATTTTCTAGGTCATGACCTAGATTTTTCGGATTTTCTAGGTCATGAACTAGATTTTTCGGATTTTCTAGGTCATGGCCTAGTTTTTTTGGATTTTCTAGGTCATGACCTTTTTTTTGAATTTTCTAGGTCATGACCTGTTTTTTTTTAGGATTTTCTATGTTATGACCTAATTTTTTGGATTTTCTAGGTCATGACCTAATTTTTTGGATTTTCTATGTTATGACCTAATTTTTTGAATTCTCTAGTCTTTCCAGTAAATTCTAGAACATTCTAAAAAGTATTAGAAAATTTCAGAAATTCTGGAATTTAAAAAAGTTTAAAATTCAAAATGTTCCAAAACTTCAAAAGACATTCCCTTACCGAAAAGAACCAAACCGTAAACCAATTCATCAATCGAGAACCGAAAGCCAAGAAGAAAGTACCCAAACAAATCGTTGAACTTCGTCAGCGTTAAAAGTCAAAAATCTCTCTGAGCATGGATAAAAAAATATCAGGAATTTTTGAAAAGCCAGTAAAATAAGCAAAAAACAGTTGGCTTGATATAAAAATCCAGCGATAAATGCGTTGAAAACAACAACTGCACAATAAATGAAGAAGAAAATAAAAAATAGACGAATAAATGCAGAGATAACAAAGATAAAAAGCAAAATAGCTGTACCAGTAAAAAATAAGGATTTATGAAGTTTGTATAATTTCTCATTGATTTTATAAAAACAATGGTTCACTTCAAAAATTGAACTGCCTTTCTCTTTTTGAACATTTTTCAAAAATACATGACTGTAAAATGGAAAGATTAAAATTGAAAGAAGTTCGTAAATAAATACAAAACCAACTTCCAAATCTTGAGAACTTTCTGTGGAATTCGAAGATACGTTTTCCATTTTTTGCCGAAATTCGTTTTTTAAATTTTATGATTTTTCTGTCAGAAAAACTCTCATGGGAGAATTTTCAAAGATGTCAGGAAAATCAGCTGTTGATAAACAAGAATGATTTCACCTGTTTTGAAACACAGTACTCACTTTTTGTGAAATCATCGGAGTTTTGAAATTTGAATTTTTGGGAAGTTTCTGAATTTCTGAATTTCTGAATTTCTGAATTTCTGAATTTTTGAATTTTTGAATTTCTGAATATCTGAATTTCAGAATTTCTGAATTTCAGAATTTCTGAATTTCCGAATTTCTGAATTTTTGAATTTTTGAATTTCTGAATATCTGAATTTCTGAATTTCTGAATTTCTGAATTTCTGAATTGATGAATTCCTGAATTTCTGAATTTCTGAATTTCTGAATTTCTGAATTTTTAAATTTTTGAATTTCTGAATATCTGAATTTCTGAATTTCTGAATTTCAGAATTTCTGAATTTCTGAATTCCTGAATTTCTGAATTTCTGAATTTCTGAATTTCTGAATTTTTGAATTTTTGAATTTCTGAATTTCTGAATTTCTGAATTTCGGAATTTCTGAATTTCTGAATTTTTGAATTTTTGAATTTCTGAATATCTGAATTTCTGAATTTCTGAATTTCTGAATTTCTGAATTTCCGAATTTCTGAATTTCGGAATTTCTGAATTTCTGAATTTCTGAGTTTCTGAATTTCTGAATTTCTGAATTTTTGAATTTTTGAATTTCTGAATATCTGAATTTCTGAATTTCTGAATTTCAGAATTTCTGAATTTCTGAATTTCGGAATTTCTGAATTTCTGAATTTTTGAATTTTTGAATTTCTGAATATCTGAATTTCTGAATTTCTGAATTTCTGAATTTCTGAATTTCTGAATTCCTGAATTTCTGAATTTCTGAATTTCCGAATTCCTTGATTTCTGAAATTTTAAATTTTTTCAAGACATTTCAGATTCAAATCCTGGTCCTCCTTATATTCTTCAATTCACAACTCAATATTTTTCAAATTTTAATAATTTCGAAAAAATTAAATTTCCTATCCAGTCTATTTGTATTTTTCGCCGATGGGCGTGGCTATGAAAAGCCTGTGATTGTGGGAAGAGCATTCAAACCTGGAGTGTTCAGGAGTACTGTAGGTGTTGTTGTTGGCATTCCCAGACTACCGTATCCCGACTTGCCACGTGCTGAGAACACGCCAAAACATTATGGATTTGTTCATGAGAGAGCAAGGATGTCATGAATTGTTTTTTTTTGGATTAATAAAATTTTTTTTGATTTTCTGACTGTTTCTTAAATGCCAAAAATCTAGAAACCTTTATAAAATTTTTTTCTGAAAAATATAATTTAGTTTTTTTTCTTCTGACATCACCCCTCAAAAATGTCCAAAACATAATTCCATGTTTGTCGTTAACACAAAACTAGACTCAATTCCAGTTAAGCACACCAGGTGGAAATAATAATTTTTTAAAAAAATTTTCAAAAAATTTTTTTCCGCTCAAAAAAATCCAAAAATGAGCCAATTTTTTATTGCTCTGTCGAGTTTGACGGCTCCAGTGGACCCTAATAATTTACCATCCTTTTTTACACTTTTTTGTACTCTATCCTTAATTTTATATGGATTATGTTGGGTTGAATTCAATGAAAAAGATAAAAATGATACTTCAATTGTGAAAATTATCAAAAAATTACAATCTGGAAAATTTCTATTGATACTTTGGATTCTCAGTTTGATTTTGGCTGGAATTTCACTCTGGAATGATTTTCCTTATCGATTTTTTGGTTTTCAATTCGTGAATTCTTTGAATTCGACGATGGAAGAATCTATGAATGTTTTATGGTCCTTTTTTGGAATTCAACGATTTTTAGTGTATTTTTGGCCGGGAATTGAGAGAAAATTCGAATTTTCGGAGCAAATTGAATTTGTGATTTATTGGATTTGTTGGATTATTTTTGGCCTGAAAGTCGTCGGAGAATTTTTTGGATTTTTGAATTTCGAGCTATATGTGGTTTGTTGATTTTTTAAAAATTGCTTTCACAAGTTTCAGAAACTCTGAAAATCAGAAAAATTCAGTAATTCGATTTCTGAAATCTAGATCTGTCTAGAAAACAGGAAATTGAATAGGTTCAAAGTAAAGATCATTTCAAATAGTTTCACAGATTCAAAAAGTGAAATTTCAAGTAAGATTTAAACGTGGCGAAGAGAAAATTATTTTTGAAAAGTTTGAGAAAAATTAAATTCTAGACGAAAAGAAATGCGTGAATTAAATTAGAAATCCACGACCAAAGATGACCTCAGGGAGATAAGATTACTATAAAGGAAGAGAAAAAGTAGAGGGAACAATCAGTTCTCTCCTCTCGGAGCTCCCGAGAGGGGACCGGAGAAGGAATCCGGATATCTGGGTCCGGATTCCGGAATTTTGGATTTCTGGGTCCCTATTCCGGAATTTTGGATTTCCCGGTCCGGATTCCGGATTTTCGGGTCCGGATTCCGGATACCCGGGTCCGGATTCCTGATATCTGGGTCCGGATTCCGGATTTCTGTTTCCGGATTCCGGATATCTGGGTCCGGATACCTGACTCCGGACTTCTGGGTCCGGAATCCGGATATCGGGTTCCAGACTCCGGATTCCGATATTCCAGGTCGAGATTCCGGATATCTTGGATCCAATTCCGGATTCCGGATTTCCGGGTCCGAATTCCGGATTCCCGGGGTCCGGATTCCGGATTTCCGGGTTTGCATTCCAGATTCCGGATTTTCGGGCCCGGGTTCCTGATATCTGGGTCCGGATACCTGACTCCGGACTTCTGGGTCCGGAATCCGGATATCTGGTTCCAGACTCCGAATTCCGGATTCCCGGGGTCCGGATTCCGGATTCCCGGGGTCCGGATTCCGGATTCCCGGGTTCGGATTCCCGGGGTCCGGATTCCGGCTTTCTTGAGCTTCTCGAATTAAAAAATTTTGAATTAAAAAAAAAAAAACAATATATATATATATATCTAAAACCAAATAACATTTTTCAGGCAATCTACATTATTTATTTGATTTATTTAACAATTATCTGTATTTTATCCATTTCTACAGGCCTAAAATCTAGAGACACATTCTCAGAATACGTTATTTGGGCTCTAGTAAGAGTTGTCATTTTGAAATATGTAAGTTTGGTTTTTTTTTTGAAAAAATGTGATTTTCGAAAAATTCCCAAAAAATCGAAAATCAAAAAAAAAATATTTACCTATTTTTTTTTCGGAATTTCTGAATTTCAGAATTTCTTTTAAAAATAACATTTTCGGAAAAAATTCTTAATTTAATTTTTAAAAATTTCCAGATCCAAATCCTGGTTCTATTCATATTTTTCTATTCTCAACTCAATATTTTTGAAATTCTAATCATTTCAAAAAAGTTTAATGTCCTATCCAGTCTATTTTTATTTTTTGCTGATGGGCGTGTTGCTGAAAACCCCATAATTGTTGGGCATGCATTCAAAACTGGAGTGTTCAGGAGTACTGTAGGTGTTGTTGTTGGAATTCCCGGACTACCGTATCCCGACTTGCCACGTGCTGAGAACACGCCAAAACATTATGGATTTGTTCATGAGAGAGCGAGAATGGGATAATTCGAAAATCCAAAAATTCGAAAAAAATTGAAATTTAACTTTTTGAATTTTAATTATATGTATATAATATTTTGTTATTTAAATGAAACATTTTACAAATATCTTTTTTCATTTTCAAACTTTATGCTATGTAATTCAAAAAAGTTTAAATTTTCACAAATTCCCAACTGTTGCCAATCTTGTCGTGGCACTTGTTTTATTTTTCACAATTTTCAGCGTTTTTAGTTTTGCCAATTTCCATAAAAGAATAATAATTGGTGTCATAAAATAGTTCAACTTGTTTTGGGTGATAATTATCTGAAAATTAATTAATTATGTAATTGAATATATATATATATAGAAAAAATACCTGATAAAGTGTCGAAATATTGGATAATAAATAGTATAAAATTGGGAATACTATCTGAAAATAATTAATTTTGAATTTTTGGTCCTTGGGTCCCTGGGTCCCTGGGTCCCTGGGGTCTAGAGTCCTTGGGTCCTTGGGTCTTGGGTCCCGGGCTCCTCGGATCCCTGGGTCTTGGTCTTTGGTCCCGGGCTCCTCGTGTCCCTGGGTCCCAGGGTCTCGTGGTCCCGGAATCCCGGGCTCACTGGGTCCCTGGGTCCTTGGGTCCCAGGGTCCCTGGGGTCTAGAGTCCTTGGGTCTTTGGGTATTGGGTCCCTGGGTCCCTGGGTCCCTGGGTCCCTGGGTCCCTTCAAAAATTCAGAAATTCGAAATTTCAAAAATTGAAAATTTTCAAACTTACAATTTTCGCTACAGTAACCAAAACCAGCGGCCAAACTACATAATTTTTGAAATTTTTCCAAGATTTGAATCCAGTGAAAAATGAGAACATCGAAAAAACCAAGAAAAAAGTGTTGAGGGAAATTTTGAAAATCTGAAATTTTTTAATTTAAATTTTCAATTAAATTTGAAATTACCACATAAACTTCCGGAAAAAATCTCATAAAAAACTCGAAAAATATCCAAAAAATCAGGGTTATATAGGTCCAAAAAATGAGCCTAAATCGAACTTTTCCAGAGAAATTGAAAAAATTTTCTGAAAATTTTTTTGAAAATTTCAAAAAAACCCTTTGAACCGCCAAAAATGACCAGGAAACTTGATTGAAATCACATAAAACTGTTAAAATGGAAAATAAAAATCGCGGGAAGTCGAAAATTCCAGAAAACCCGTTAAAAATGATAGAAACCAAATAGAAAATCCCGAAAAAGAATCCAATATATCCAATAAAAATTTTCTTGTTCAAATGATTCACAAAAATATATAACGAGGTTCGTTTATCGATTTTTGACTCGAATTTGGCGAAAATAAAGATATAAAAAGTCCAAAAAATGGTCCCAATTAATAAATAACGATTTTGGAAATCGGGAATTTTCAAAATTGGATCTTCGAATTTTCTGGAATTTTTGAAAATCTCCAATATCGAATTTTCCATTTTTAAGGGTATGGGGGTGGGGAGTTGGGAAAGTGAGTTTTTATTTTAAAAAATTCCAAAAAAAAATATTTTTAATTCTATAATTTTAGGTGGGAGGGGAAGATTTTTGAGACTAAAAATGATGTGGGGGTGTGGAATTTAAAGAAAAAAAATTTTCGAAAAAATATATAATTTAGGGCTAGAAGGAATTTTTGTTTTTCTCTTTTTCCCGGGAAAACACCAATGATCAAAAATTCTTTAGAATTTTGAAAATGCCGAAAATATGTGATTTTAATCCCAAGTTTTTGGAAAAAAAATTTCGAAAAAAATTTTTTTTTCGAAAATTTTGATAAATTGTGACAAGCTGAGAATACAGAAAAAATAGTTCAAAAAAGTCCAAAAACCATCTTTCTAGCTAGTCTAGAAGCAAAGATACAGGCAGTTAAAGATTTAGAAGAGAGACGCAGACAACAAGACACTCTAACTGTCTGCGTCTCTCAAAAACTTCAAATGACCGTATCTTGGCTTCTAGGATAGCTAGAAACTTGCTTCTTTTTGTATTTTAAAGAATTTTTTATATATTTTTTAACAAAAAAAGGATATTCAGAATTTATTGTAGCTTAGGATTGGGAGAGGGGGAGAATAAACAACAAATGAAGAAACTGAGCAAGTGCGATCCAAGGAAAGGTCATCAAAATTATAAATAGGGGAGATTTAACCAAGAATTGGACAGGTGTGATTAGGAGAACAACTATTGAAATTCGAAACCAATACAATTTCCGGCTATATAAACCTCCAATTCCTTGCCTTGCGCGAATCACCTGTGTGTAAAGGTGAGCGCGCTTGTCTATCAGTCGTGCATCGCGGGTTCGACTCCCATATGTGCGTTTTTGTTTTTTTTCTATTTTCATGCGGCGACATCCTAGAAAGGCCGAATAACGAGAAAAAGTCGGGAATAAGTGCCAAACAGTGAAGAAATCTAGTGTATTCTAAAAAAAATAAATGCTCGTCAAGTAGCGCGCATTGGTCGCAATCGCACAATTTTCCGTCAGAATACATGATC